TGTGTACAGCGATAAAGTTATTATCAACTTCTTGCACTGTGTTGAAATTTTTCAAGTTCAAGTTAACGACTTCACAAAAAAGGAATATTGTTTTTTGGAAATGATGTCTCCGATACGACTAGTTTAGAAAAAGCTATACAACATACTGGCAACTAATAGAGTGTGTATATGTACATACTTACATTCGAAGTTATGAAATTTTGTAAATTAATTATAACCATCATGCCATTTTCGAAAAAAAAATTCGTTATTATTAGGTCGTTAACTGAAGAATTTTATATTGCAATGGACTAGAAGTTTTGACTTGCCCAAAAAAAGACCCCCACCAAATGTTACAATACACATGTAATTTTACTTATTATAACACATTAAAAAAACTAATGCGATGAAATTAAAAAATGTTTATTTTCAGTACAACTTTTTTACAAAGTCTAATATCCTTGAAATGTGCTCAGTGTAAAGGTTATTATATTTTTATTAGAAAGTATTTTACTTTCGAGACTATCGCGTGAATTTATCTTGGTACAGCATGAAAATGTAAGTGAGATAAATTTTTCTTATCTCGATCACAACAATTTGTCTTCACTTAAGTTTCAATTATTTGAAAATTCTTAAGGAACTGATGTTTCTGATGTTGTACAAGTGATTGATACATGTGTTTTAGACATTAGATAATTTAAATTAATTTACTGAAATGGCCACACATTAAAAGGTATAAACTAAAACTTGAACCCAAAATCACAGATCCGTTTCTCTACCGATGGCTTTTTAAACGTCGGTGATTACCATCACGAATTCATTTTTTCTTGATGACTCACAGTGAGATTTTTTTACATTTAATACACATTCCACCATTATTCACGATTCAGGGATTCCGATCAACGTTTCTTCGTACAATTTGCAATAAAAACACAGCAAACGACGAACAAATCTGATAGCCAGACTTGACATCATCGCGATGTACGATCATCTCCAAAACTTACGAGTAAGCTCGTATTGCTGACAATCTCTCACATAAGTCTGAAAAATAATCCAAAACAGCTTCCTGACACAAACGTTTCATAACGACCCCAACTTCGCTCGCGTACAGCCATGAACAACAAAATCCAGTCCCGACCATTGAACTTTCGATTAGCATTGCTCCGGACGAGAGTGGTCAGCTCGGAGAATCCGTTGCACGTGCCGGCGAAGAAAAAACGCAAAAAGGAGGTCGTGCGCTCGTCATGTGCCAAGGCTTGGCTCGGGACATGCGGAAAAGACGCGGCGCGACAACGAGAGGTAGAAGTCAGGCGCGAAACACACGGAGAAAAGAAATGGGAGAAGAAACGGGAGAGGAAAAAAAGTGGGACGTGGAGAGACCGCAGGCGCTGTTTAAATATTATCGTCGTCGTTCGCGAATACTTTTTTTTTTTTTTTTTTTTTTTAATTTCTGGATGCTGCAGCGCAGGATGTTCTCGTTAATAGCTTTAAAATCCGACGTGGGGGCCGTGCAGGGTAAACTTTGGCTGTTTTAGAACGAGACTGCTAAATACATCCTTGGACCTCTCTGCAAACAAGTTGCTCAATCTCGTAATGTGTGTTGCACCATGTTGGGCTTGAATCTTTGCGTAAGACTTGATGCACATTGACACGCAGAATACGTATAATGATTCTAATGCATGGTCACTTTATGATTAAAAAGCCGTTTATTTTTATGGATCTCGTGAAATTTTTAGATATTAAATTGCACAACTGGTTGTTGCAAAATGAAGAGATTAAACGAGAATCGTATCATCAGTCCGATCATTACGATTCGTCAACTCAACCCAGTTTTATCAATGGTACCAAAAATTGTTGCAGTACAATTGGTAATTGCAATGAAAAAATACAAGTATAAAAATAACAACAGTATTAAGAATAATAACAATCAACAGTAGAAAATTAACGACATGAAATGTGGTTTCTGGAATATATAAATATAATTCAGTATAATTCCAAATAGTGAGAATAGCAAACATTGGAGTAGAAAAAAAAACTAGCCAGAAATTCTTCATTAAACGTAACCATTGATCACATCAAGGCAATCAAAATAAGTACAATAAAAAAAAGTCCAAAACGATTCAGCAAGTGTTGTATGAATACAGCCCATCTCATCCCTTAAATCTCGAAATTCAAACCCCACAAAGAATATCAGGGGAGGGCGCGATTTCGATTTCACCACAGAGTAGTGCATATCGGCTCTTTTCTTCCCTTCCTTCGACTTTCCTAATTGGATTCGGTGCTCGTCCGAAGCCACGTAGGTGCCGCCTCGTGTGCGCTCCGTTGCCAAACCGCCTTGACCATTATACCCCAACGATCGTTCCGATGCGCTTCTTCAGCTGGTGATAATAATTCCCAATTATTAATGCGCGTCCGGCGTAATTGAATTGTTGATAGGACTTTCCCGGTTGCCATCGCGTGGCTTCGCTCGGTGAGAACAGATAAATATTCTCTTGATGGTAGTGCGCTTTTTCCTTTGAGATTACAAACTTTGCTATTATTATTATTATTGCCTTTGCTGTATAAACTACATTGTGATCACGACATATGATTGTGGTTCTATGTAGCTTTATCTTATCGGTGTCTACTTGCTGGATCTTATTATTATCTTTTGTATCTCGTTGCTGTGGAATTCATGTTCATTCACTACTGTGGGTCAAATTATCAAGTCAATATATTTTCATGTCTTGGATCTGTTACAACAAAGTAGTAGTTAACACTTCTTATAATTTTCTCAAACTTTTAATTGCCAGCAAACATTCGAAGAGTAAGCTTCTTATGCTTTGAACTTTTAAACTTTTTTCCGCTGTTATAAAAACACTAAATGATGAATTCTTAATAATATACGTAATGAGACTCAAAATCGTGATAATAATCGAAATATACCTCCTTATTTTGTAACGTGGTAGAAATCGCTCACTATCTAATAAAAAAAAAACTGGATGTGAATCGAAAAAAACGTTTGACACTATCCATCTCCAACAATCGAAACCAACAACTACTTAAAATTAAACATACATTGGTAATTCTGAATTTAACTTTCATAGATTATCCAAACCAACTGAGTTCACGTCAATAAAAAAAGTTAACGCTGGATATCCATAAATCAACGTCTCGCGCGATCGAAAAAAATTAACGAAGAGTAGCGGAGCCTCTAAAACGTCGACCCTGACTCATCTTCCAAAAGAAATAAAAAAAGAAACTCGTGTGTTACGTCACGTACGAGGCTCTTGTATATAGAATGTCGTAGTTTCTCACGTGCAGTGCGGGTATACAGTACGCACAACTTTTTTTTTTTAAATAATATTATGTCGAGCAATTTTCGATATTGTTTTGAAATTTTAATGAAATATTAATCTGATGAGAAATTGAAATGAGCAATGAACTCATTTTAATTTTAAATCTTTGATCACGTATCACACTTCCGTAAAAAAGTACTTGTATTTTTCAGTAACGTTTAGGAATTTTCAAATAACATACATATTTGAAAGAAATGTTGTTACGTATTATGATGATATTTTAAATCACTGCATTAGATATGAAAATGTGTCCTGAACCGATCTCCAACCAGCTTTTAAAATTGTACGTTTTTATTGAACTAACATGGCAGGCCTGGAGAGACTATGCGTCACGAGAAGCCGATAAGTAGTGCCACCGTATTTATTGGCACTGCATAAATTACATTTTGAGAGCATGAAAAAAAAAAACTGACAAGTGAAACGCTTGAAAAGTCGAGGGTTGCGTACACTCGGGTACTGCAAAGTGGACAACTACATTGAAAAAAAAAAACGCTGATTAGCACACAATGAACTTGAATCGAAAGTTTATGTGTCGAGTGTGCGGGGGCCATCTCACTTTTTACTGTTCGGACGTGAGGAAGATGTGCCGATCAGAGCAAACAGTTCTTGCAAATGTCGGCAGACCTTCGATTTTGGCAGAGAGCTAGATTTCCTAAGCATAAACCGGTTTGAGCTTCGTCGTAGGGTACTTTCAGGAAAAGAAATATATTTCAGGAGATCAGTGTAATTAAATTGGCTGCGGAATATGGTGGTATTGGATGCCGTGTAACTAGAAACCCTTTTTTAGAATACTTTATATAATCTAATCATTTGTTTTTCTAATGACGAAATGGTCCGATTGATTGAGACACTGGTCACGTGATGTACAGTTGGTATCGGAAAAGGGCAAACATATGTGGATAGTATATCATTTATTACTATAACGCTAGTAGCAACGAAAACTGGCAAAACGAAAATTCATAATAATTGAAGTATTTTTTACCCAATTTTTCTTACGTTAGTTTCTTATATGTAACAACAAGAATATAAAATTGTCTTGAAAACGTGATGACTCATGAATACAAGAAAATATTTTTGGGTAGTTATCAGAATGTGGTTTAAGTGATGAACGATAAAGTATGTATTAGATACGGAGTTTTTCACTAGTTTCGGATAATAAACGTTATTTTTGTTAATTACTTAGGCTAAGAAGTTACCATCGACCTCTCTTTTTTTATTTCATGAATATTACTTTTTTAATTCCATAATTTACAACAGTGCAATGTACACCGAACAATCTAATAGTAATTTTTTAAAATAATTATCTCGATAGTACCGTAAATCTCTGACTCATTAGTCAAAATTCAATAAGTTGGTACACATAACGATATTAATATTGTAATGCTTTTAATACTAATTATTCGCAATAAAATAATTTACATTTTAAAGGAGTTCAATCGTTTGAAAAATAATAAGATTAGTGAGGGTTACATTGTTTCTTGGGCTACTAATACTCCTATAAATTAATATGTATTCAATGGTTTCAAACAACATAAGCCTCTGTTATACGATGAATGTATTGAAACGTCATTATTTTTATCCACATGAATAATTTAGCAACGTATGAATAATTGAATTATCTTGACTACTTCGATTTCAAACGATCCATTTTTTTGATGAACCCCGTTTTCTTGCATTTTCCAGATGAGCAGGAGCGTGTGCAGAAAAAAACATTTGTTAACTGGATCAACTCGTGCCTTGCAAAGGTAAGCTTCTTAAGAATAATCAAACATGACTTTTCTTATCGATTCAACGATAATCTCGTTAATACATTTACAATAGTAAAAAGCAGCTACATCAAAAAAATTAGAACGAAGGATTAATTAAAGATGTTTAGCACGTCTAGTTGATTTTAAATTGTTTGATTGAATAATACCTAATTAGTTTTAGCAATAATTATCGCTTATTAGCGTTAATTCTTTGTTGACATCATGTATTGAATGTTAAGATTAACTTGATTAATCCCACAAGTATTACATATATATTTGAAGTAACTTTGAAATATAGATATCTTGTAAACATCTGTCAATGTTCCTCTGATCATTCCATATGTTGCTAGCTATGTTTCACGTACAGTGCAATCACTTTTTTAATATAACTGTAGAAAATGTTTGATAAATCGAGCCATTGTTATCAGAAAACGAAACTTCCTCAATCAAATTCATCGTATAAACGGCATTGTCTTGAAAAACTATTTCAGGCCCAAACAACAATAAATATTTTAATTTTCGGTGCATACAATTATCCTTATTTCGAAAAAAACATGAGAAACAACAAGCATCGGCCATCAACGATACCATTCCCCGTATAAACTAAAGCCCAAAAAACAATGAAACGACGAAACAAAACAACTCAAAATTCAGCTCGAACTTTAGTGGTGGGAAGATTGATTCACGATATTCAACGAAAGCAAAAAAGGCCGTATACCAAAGCGGCGAAAAGCTAAAAAAAAAAAAAAAAAAGGAACTTTTTCCAAAAGAGCGTCGATTGAACTATGGCTTCTTGTCAGCCGGTGACGAGCATTATCGTCACGTTCGCGAGCGGGCGCCCGTCGCTCGAAAGCTCGCCCAACTTGTTAACTATCGCACGCGCGCCTCTTGCTCTCTCGAACTTGCTTCCGGATCCTTCAAAACTCTCGGGTGCACGTGAGCGGCCCGAAAAATGTGTATGGGCATGTACGACCTGTTCGTGCTTCGGGTTCTTCGATCTTTCGACAAAAACGAGAATTGGGTTCTCGAGAAGCGCCGATGCTCTTTTTTTTCGCAAATTTGCTTCCGGTTGCTTTGTGTGATCTATACCAAGTTAATGCATCAATTCCTATACGAGTAAATTACGTTGAAAATAGTTTAAAATAGATTCAAGAGTAATTAAAATACGTCACACCGGGAGGTCACCGACAAAAGAACCATCAAGACCAATTCTGGAAAGAATTTATTTTTGTGTATTTATAACAAAGATGGAAGACAGTCCTCAGTAAGATGTAGACTTGTCAGAATTATTATATGACTCACGTGTACTACCATACCTTATAGTAGGTTTCATCTTTTTTAGTTCGTGCAGTGGCTTTGCAATGGCCTACAGAAATGGAAATTTCGAATGAAAAAACAACATAGTTGCAACCCCATGGGGTTAATCCATTACTAGATCTAACGTTAAACAAGTGCACCAGAAGATAAAACAATTATCGTGCCATTGTTATTTTATTATAATTTAAAATGTTTCTCGTTGGTATAGTTATTTATTATTCTTTTGCAAAGTTACCGATTTAAAAAAAATTTCTGATTATTTAACTTTAGAAACATGGTTCAATAAGTGGAACTTGTACCTTACAGTTTACAAATATGTTCTCATTTAACGTCAAATGCTACTTTTAATAGTGTATCTTTTTATGATAAACGAGGTGGATTCGAACATAGCTGAAGGATAATGATTTCGATATTACTTGCGTCAGTCACGTGCTCCCATGATACCTTTAGATGTACATGTTGTACAATGAATCGATGCAGCTATTACTACAGTTTTTGTAAAAATTCTTCCTTAAATACCTCATAATCCGTACTAATGACAAAAAAAAAAAAAATATATTAGATGCTGTATAAAATAAAAATTAAATTTTTCAGCGTATCCCACCACTTCGAGTGAACGACTTAATCGAAGACTTAAAAGATGGCACACGCCTACTTGCCTTACTAGAAATATTATCGGGGGAAAAATTGGTAAGTGTTCTATACTCTGGTTTAATTTTAAAACAACACATAAAACTTAATCATCCTTTAACTTTATTTTTATTCATCGGTTTCTTTTTTATCAACAACATAGCCAGTAGAGAAAGGACGTAATTTGAAAAGACCGCACTTTTTAAGCAATGTTAATACAGCACTTCAATTTTTACAAAGTAAAAAAGTAAGTTGATTTGGATTTTTAACGTATAAGCTTGTAACTGATTTGAATGTTAATTCGATGAATTTCGTACTTTCAGATCAAACTAGTGAACATAAACTCGTCCGATTTAGTTGATGGACGACCGCCAGTGGTCCTGGGCCTAATATGGACTATTATTTTGTACTTCCAGGTGAAATACTTTTGCAAAATATAATGTTGATTTACATAAATGAAACAAAGACCAAAGATTATCAAGCATAGAATCAAAGTAATACTAGAAATGCGGTAGCCGCTTGATCGTGCAGCGCTCGACACGTAAAAGTTTAAGTAACTGCAGCACTGCCATTCATTAAACGACGAGTCAAACGTGGACACTGCTGAGAAAAAGATTTTACTTTTATGACTATATATTCTATAATTATGCAAAGTTTTGAAATATTTGGAACAAAACGAAAATGTTTCTGAAAAAGTTGAACAAATGTTTTTAGTAGATCTTGTCACCTTGATGGTAAAAACCCAGAATTGAGGCATCATTTACGCGTAAGGGATGCTGGAGTGAATTTTTTTTTTAATATAAAGCAGTAAACACCTTCAGCGTTTGTTAAAAGTTCATACAATTAGTCAACTTTTTCACAAACGTTTATCAAGCTTCATAATCAACGTTTTTTATAACTTAGTGTGCTAATAGGGGGTAAAAAATTATTTGTGTATTAAATATTCTCCAAGAATTTAAATAGTACCATGGGTCAGTATACATTTTAAACCTTTGAAAATCTTATTCTCAGTAGTTGTTTTTTTTTTCTACTTAGATCACAAATTTTACCATCAAACACCTTATTAAACACCATAGATATCATTCGATACCATAAATAAATAATTGTCTTGACTTTCGAAAGGAAGGATTTGGTATTTATTGGTATAAGAGGAAATCAAGCCTCATAACGAAAAAATCTGACAACACTAATTGTTCACTAATCACGACACTTAGAACCTTGCGAAGACGAGATTTTACGATCAAGTTTCCATTAACTTCCAAATAATTTACTACTGTACCTAACTCTGTTAACCCTGTATATTTCACTAAACAAGCTACGATCCAAGGATCGCAAAAGGGTGAGTAAATGATATAAACACGTACAAGAGAATCGTACTTTGCATACTCCCTCGCACGATGCGCACAGCATGACTCAGCGCATTTACACGTAAAAAATCGCACGCTAGGTGTTGTCGTAGTTTATTGTCCGTCGTAAATTTAAGTGCTCATTTCTTTTGGAGTAAAAACACTTGACATCTCAACGGGACTTATCGTTTCCTAGATCGAAGAGAACGCCCGGGTACTCGAGTACTTTGGCAACACGTGGGGAAGCCAGAGCAGTCTGGAGAGCATTGGGACCCAGGGCTCGGGAGCGAGCGAAAGAAAACGTCAGAGCAACGAGCGATGGAAGCAGGGGGCTCGCAAGACTCTGTTGCAATGGGTCACCAACGTCTTACCAAAGTTAGTATTAAGAAAACGTCATCTCGTCCATTTGCGTGTTTTTATCCTTGGGAATTTAAAATCATATAAATACAATAAATAAACACTATCTCCTCAACGGAAGAAAGTATCATCTTGTTTCTGAATTTCAAAGTTGTGTCATCTTATTTTTGATAAACCTCGCTTATCATCTTGTTTGGAAATTCCAGAAACGTGTGATATCAAGATGATGTGATCTTTTATTTGAGTGATGATATAAAAAATTTACAACTACTATGCACAAAAAATGTAGAGAATAGCAAGTTTGTCGTAACAATTTTACTTGTCTTTTCAACCGAACAGAAATCTGGGAATAGAAGTCCGCGACTTTGGGGAGAGTTGGCGCGACGGGCATGCCTTCCTGGGCATCATCGACGCGATCAAGGCGAACCTGATCAGCATGTCGGAAATGCGTCAGGCGACAAACCGCGTCAGACTCGAGACTGCTTTCAACGTTGCGGAACACGAACTCGGTATCGCTCGGCTGCTCGATCCAGAGGACGTTGATGTGCCAAAGCCAGATGAGAAGTGCATTATGACCTACGTCGCTCAGTTTTTGCATAAATATCCCGAACCCAAGGGCACGATCTCGGACTCTTCAGGTAATATCCAGGAAGAGTACAACGCTCTGTTGCATTGGCTTGACAATAAGACGAGACACCTTGATCAGCTGGACCGGGCAGATAGTTTTTCGAGCAACCACGAGGTACGCGATGCCTTGAAATTGATTTATGAATTTTACAGTCAAAAGTATCGTTTTTTTACGGCACAGTAATAAACTATTTTTTTTTTTACATTTTGCAGGATTACTTTGCCTTTAAGAGTGAAATGGATGAGAAATCACTAACTTATCGCAAGTTTGAAAGCTTAGTCGATACTCCAAGTACGATCAGTTTAACACGCGAATCTTGGAAGCATTTGCAAACTTTATGGAAAGTTTTGGAATTACTAGTAAGTTGAGAACTATTAGTAACCCTTACTCTTTTTTTCACCTTAAAAGGATCCTACTTGTTAATTCTTAATATCCCAGCGTCTTACCGATTTTTTCATTAGTCCTTGAAATCCTTATTATTATTATGTATAACTCCTGTTTTGAAAATGTTTTCTTTATTTTTTGACAGACATTAAGATGGCTGTGGTTACTCGATTCCTTATTACCAAACGAGCTGGGTGAAGTCGGCAGATGGCTGGCACATGCTGAATCTCTTCTGTATTCTGATGCCGACATACCCGAAGAAATGACAGAAGAGACGGCGAGTCTGATTTCTCGAAAACTAGAAGACCACAAAAAGTTTTTCCTGGATCTTCCAAAGGTTATTGAAAAATTCAACTACGCGCAAGTCTCGCCGATTGCGCAACAAGTGCCGAGTAAACAGTTGGAAAGTATGTCATCCAGACTGGAAAGCCTTCCAATGCGTGCCGCTAAAAGAAAAATTAAGTTGAAATTCTTAGAACACAAATGCTGTCTCGTTGCATTTCTTAACCTCGTGGAGACGAGACTTCAGAGTTGGGGCGTGAAGTACGGTAGCGAGCGGGAGGTTCAGCAGATTTTGGAGGATTATAGAAATTTTGTGTCAAAGAATCGAATTTTCCAAGAATTTCAAAAAGCATACTTAGAATTACAACAGGTGGTCGAAGAGTACAAAAAGGACGGTGATATTGGTATGCTATGTTTTACTAACAAATTTTTTTTACTTTCGATTTCGAATTTAGTGTTTTGATTTTGTTAAGATTAATCTTTCAATGCTTTCTTATTTAGATCGAGAAGAGTATATTAATGTTGATAGATTTATACGTGAAACTGGAGACAAGTGGAAAAATATTTCGATGGAATTGCGCTGTGTTCAAAGTATGCTTGAAGAAGTGACAGCTTATTGGCGAAGGTGGTCTCTGCTGTCGGATGAATTTGAAGCGTGGCTTAGTAGAGCAGAACCTATTTTAAATATGCCGGAAGAACAGAAGATGGAATTTTTCCAAGATATTTCTGTTTGGAAAGATAAATACCAACAGATTTCCGATACAGTTAGTTTGTTGATTGCTACGTCTGAGGACCAAGTAAGTATCTTTCGTACAACAAGTTCTACTGTTTTGCAACATAAAAAAAAAAACACGATTTTTGTAATGCTTTATTCTTAATACACTTAAGACTTGTATCGTTTTTTAGGTTGCCTTACAGTTGAAAAATCGCTACGTTCATTTAACGAATAGATGGGAAAAACTCTTCCAAGAAGCAAAGCAGTACATGCATGCTGGTGATCTCCTTAGAAATTGGAAAGATTATCGCGAGGGCGTTGAAAATCTCCAAGTCTGGATAAAAAATGCAGAAGCTGCCCTCTCGACGTCACAGTTAACATCCACGGAAAAAATAAAAGCTTACGGTGAACGCCTGAAAACTCTGCACGAGGAAATCGAAGGAATAGAAGAGCTGTTCAAGGACGTTGGCAAAAAATTCCAAGCCCTTATTCAAGATTTGTCTCGCGAAGAAGTGGATAAAATGATGAACACATTGAAGAAAGAAAAGGAAGCTTTAATTCGCGTTCGGGCATTGATACCAACGCAGTTGCATTTATACCATCAAATTCTGGTTCAACAAGAGTCCTTAGAAGCTGGCCAGCGAGAGATATCAGCTTGGCTGGATGATGCAGAACGTCTCCTTAACAGTTATAATCTTGCTGGGGGTCGGGAGTCTGTAGTTTCTTTATTGGAAAGGCATAGAGCATTCTTCTCCCGGACTTTGTACTACAAATCTATGCTGGAATCTAAAAACAAAGTTTTCAGTAATATCGTTAAGTCAGTTGACGCTCATAAGCAACCAGGTGATGGCAACGTTGAACTTCGTGATCTTAACGACAGATTCACTCGCGTTTCTCAAGCAGCTCAAATGTGGGAACAGAGATTAATGGAGGCTGTTCAATGCTGGATCAAGTTTTACGAGTCCGAGCGTCAGGTTTCTGAATGGCTTTCAACTGCTGAAACACTTATCAATGATCGAAACATCGACAATCGTCAGTCTGTTGAGTATCACAAGAACTTCTTTGGTAAAATTAACGAAAGATTGATCCAGGATCTCGTAAGCGTGGCACATGAGTTGAAAAATGCATTGCCGACAGAACAACAAGCTTCAATTATGGAGACGGTTGATTCGCTTCAAAGAAGGTGGCAGGAAGTTTTATCATTTGCTCCATTGCATTTAATGAAACTTGAATTCAGGTTAGATGAAGCAACTTTCTCGCAGTACTTGAAAGAAATTGAAATGGAAATTAACGCGGAACAACAAGCTATCGTAAAAAATGAGGATATTGAAAGAATTTCAAATAGAAATAAAGAGTACTTCATCAATCGCGGGACAGTAGATCAAGTGGAACGTTCCTTGCAAACTTTGAAAGAAACAAGTACAGCGTATTCCAATTTTAAACCTGAAGATTCTAGCTTAATCGAAGCTGCACAAATTGCCGAGCGTTGTTGGAAACAAACCATCAATAGAATAGAGACTCTCAAGGAACAGTTGAAACAAGTTCCACAGCAATGGGCTGCTTATAAACAAAAGTAAATCAATTAAAATTTATTACAATTCTTTATGATTAGTTGCAGTGTTCATTGGAATTTTTTAACTTTAGGTTCGACGAAATGTCCAGATGGATGGATCACGTAGATGACACTCTCAGAACAATGTTGCATGAAGTTAGTTCTCTTGAAGAGTTTGAGCAGGATAAATCAGTCTTCCAGGTGAGAAAAGATAACGTTTGATTCAAGATAACTATTTTAAAATTCTTAAATAATAAATTGCCTCCTATTTGCTTGCTCGGATAGCTTCAGAATTTGACGGTAAATATATTTCTTGAAGCAATTATTCGATGTCGTAATATCGATGTGTAGTTTTTCCCTGCATTTTTACGTAATGTTTTTAATGATTGTGATGAAAAACAATGACTGAATCTTATAATTATTAATTTTAGCAAGTATGTCAAGAAGCAGACAATAAACGGGAAGAAATGAAGTGGTTGGTACAAACTTTGGACAGTTTGACATCAAATCGTTCCGATCAGGAAGCAGAATCAGAACAACGAAAACTTGAACTGCTTATTACCCGATACAAAAATTTAATACCAACTATAGAAATAACAATGACGAAAACTGACATTTATTCAAAAAGTTACACATACAGAAAAGAAGTACGTGAAGTTTGCACACTGCTTCATCAAGTTCGCGATCAAACTGCCGATGTGCCTTCATTAGAAAGTCCTGAAAGTCTGAACAAAGCATTAAAACACCAAGAAACTTGTTTAAACCAACTGGAAAAACAACGAGCTAACATTGTTAGTATGTTACAACGAGGCAAAGATTTATTGAAAGATCAACATGCACCAAATTTTGTTTCTTCTGAAGTTCAGCAACTAGAAGTTAGTTGGAATGAAACTTACGGACAAAATATTGAAATTCTAAAATCATTGAAAAATTCCCAAAGATTATGGAACACTTATGAAGATCAGAAAAATGAGATTTTCAGATTGATAGCACAAGCTGAAGAAGATTTAAGGAAGTTAGATTCAGCTGCTTATTACAATTCAGCCCAAGTTTCTGCCAGCTTACAATATCAACAAGAACTTAGTTCTTCTTTACATAAGACTGCAACAAACATGATACAAAAATTACACGAAATATTTTCAAACTTAGCTAAAGAAACTACTCCTGAGCGTCAAGATGAATTGCTTAAGGAAGTATCTGATGTAGAAGGAGAAGCATATAAGGTTTTACAAAAATTAGTAGAGAGAATAGAAAATTTACAAAAACTCCAAAGTCAATGGAACCACTTCCAGTCTCAAATATCAGAGCTACAAAATTGGACTACTCAAAGTGCTCCTCAAACAATAGCTGATATAAAAGCTTCTGCTGTGACTCCAGAAGAAAGAGTTTCAAAAACAGAAATTTTGCAAACGCAAATTTATGAAAAAATAACAATATTAAAACAAATTGAAGAAGAATCAAAAGTTCTGATAAAAGGTGAGTAAAAGTTTGTTTGTTTAGATGTTTTATCGTTTACTTGAAATCATTCTATTATATACTTATACATTTTTTTTTTTTTTTTTTTTTAGAGAGTGACAAAAGACCAGAGGCACAAAATATCAGGACTCAAATAAAAAATTTACAAACAGCAGTTGATTCTTTAAACGAAAGCATCGTAAATCAGCGTGAAACTGCAACGCGTAATCTTACGACTTGGAAAGAATATGAAGTTGGAATACAACGATTAAAACCATGGATCGAAGAAGCTGAGATTCGTGCATCTTCCATTGGCTCGAAACCATCGACTCTACCACAAGCAACAGAGATGCTTCAAACTGCTCGAATTTTTGAAGAGCAATGTGCTGAACATCTACCGAAACTTCATAATTTGACGCAAATTAGTCAACAACTTGGAGGTCGTACAAGTGCACCTGATGAGGTTGATACCGTTTACAGTCGTTGGAATTCTGTACATGATGTAGCCATTCAAACAAAAACTAGACTTGAAAAGCTTGTGGCGTCGTGGAATACATTTGAAAGTGACATGAAAGAGTTCAATCAATGGTTAGATACTTCGGAAACAGCGGTTACAACGGAACCTAATGTTCAGACTCCAGATGTAGGAAAATTAGAACTGGAATTGGCCCGCTTAAAAGACTTTAGTAAAGAAATTTCCAACAGACAAGCTCAGCTAATTACGCTTACTCAAGTATCTGATCATATAAGCCATGGGTTAACGATAGAAGGAGGAAATAATTTAAAAACTCGTGTTCTTGAGCTAAAAGCTCGAGTTGGCAAACTTGCAGACACAGTTCGGCATTATATCAATAAAACTTCTGATTCCTTGTTAGCGAGAAATGAGTTCCAAATAAAAGTAACTGATTTTGAGAATTGGATGAGTAATTTACGTCAAAACATAGCGGAAATCAGTGACGTGCACGTTGACAATGTTGACTCCAATCTTCAAACAGTTTATGCTTATCTCCAAGAACATTCAGAGAAACAACCAAATTTCACAGCAATATATGATGAAGTAAAATATCTGAGTAGTCGAGGTACACCAGAAGAAGTCGCTAATCTTGATGATATTTATGCATCAATTGCAGTAAAATACAAAGCTTTGGAAGATGACTTACTGGATAAAAAGAAGGGTCTAGAAAAATGGTTGGAAATCTTAAACTGGAATCAAGAAGCCATAGCCCAATTAAATCATTATAAGTACGAAACGGAATCACGTAAGCCAACGATTGATGATTGTGAGAGAGTCACGAGTGAGCTTAAGAATATTCAAACTAAAATCAATAACTGGAAAGAACAAATCCCATACATCGATAGTGCCTTAGGAATTCAAATGCGCGATAAGGAAGGAAATCCTTTGACAGCCTCTAACTTAATTAATAACCTGGAAATGCAAGTAGTAGAATTGGAAAATACGATTTTGGCTAAACGTGAACGATTGAAAAGTCTTAGTACTAGGTGGGATAATTTCAGAAAACTGCAGCAAAATATAACAGAAGAAATAGTTGAAATACAAACTTTATTACAGGAAGTAACGTATAAAGTAGACACGTGTGAGAAACTTGCACCAGCAGTTGAAAAAATCTCAAATCTGATTGACAAGAATGAACAGCTGCAAGTAATTAAAGGCACCTTACACCAAGAAGGTGGTGAATTGTTAAAAGAAGATCAAAGATCTTTAACAAACGTACAAGTTGTTCTTTCTTCTGTTGATGGCAATTGGGAAAAAGTCAATGAACTTTTACACGATCAAAAGAAGAAATATACTGAAATGGAAGCAAGTTGGAAGCAATTTTTGGAAGCAAAAGAAAAATTAACAGCTTTTATCGATGAATCCTTAGTTTTATGCGATTCTGTCAAAGAAGCTCCCAGTGATATGACTCAAGCAACGTTAGCCGTTGAAAAGCATAAAAAAGCCTTAGAAACACTAAAGAAAGGAAAGCCACATTTAGAAAAAATGGATTCTAAGGCACAGCAAATCATGAAAGAAGCTTCTTTGATGCCTAGTTTTGGTATTGATGTAATGGAATCGAATATTTCGACAATTCATAAAAAGTACCAAGATACTTATTCAAATATAGTTGAAAAGATTCAATTGTACGAAACTCAAGTGATTATTTGGAAACAAATAGATGACGCGAAATACGATCTGACTCGTTGGTTAAGTGACACAAATGATTCTCTAATAGCAGCTTGCGAACGCCTTGGAGATGCTGAAAATGGCCAAACTAGATTAATAAAGTTCAGGGAAGAACTACCAGCTTATCAATTGCTTCGACAAGGCATATCAACAAAGACTGAACAACTTTTAAAGCTCAATCGAGGAGTAGCTATTCCTGCTTTAGCATCATTAAACCATACTTTGGACGAGCAATTCCAGCTGGTTCATGATTCAGCAAATAAGTTAGAAACAATGACCTTCACTTTTACAGAGAAAGAAAATATAATACGTCAACAGTTGAAACAGTCAAGTGATACAATATCAAAAGTGCGCGAAGAAATAATTAAATGCGACGACTTAACAGGTGAAAATTCAAAGATCATGGAAAGGATCAACCACTGCAAAGAATTGAAAAATGAGCTGGAAAGATGCACTTCTGTTTTATTAAAGGTTGAAAAAAATCTCAACCAATTATCCCAAGAGTATCCTTCAATATCTAAATCTAGTTTGCCGAAAGAATTACAATCTTTGCAGTATAGACGTGATGCGGTTGCTAGTCACGCAGAAAAAGTAAGTAACATGTTTAATTTAACAAAGTTTTTTTATTTTTCATCAATGATTACAACTTTGAACAATATTTCAGGTAAGTGCCACGCTGCGAGCTTTTTTGATGAAACTGTATCACGAAAAATTCAGCGCTCTTCAACGAATGGTAGCCACAAACAAAGAAAAAGTGGCATGGTGTGAGCCTGAACAGAGTAGCGATAGATATAATCTGGAAGTAAAGTTGGCCTCACTACTTGATGTAGAAGCCGATATTAATGAATGCGATGTAAGAAAACAAGAAACAGATGAATCGTTGAGATTATTGGAAAAAGTGGAAAGCCGCGAAACTATACAGCGATTGAGAGACGAAAGAGAAAGGATTCACGTAGACTTAGAAGCTCTAAAATTGTGTTTCGTTAATATCAAAAAACTGCTGGAAAAGAATATCGTCACTTGGCAGCGATACGAAGTTATGTCAGATAGCGTGGTGTCGTGGTTAAAGAGAGCAGAAAATAGAGTTAGGGCTGAAAGCTCAGTTCTTCTAAGTCCCCGAGAGATCGAAAATAAGAAAATAGAGATGAATGAATTCAAAGAGGAATTTTCCGTAAATAATGTAGAACTTAAAAGATTAATTTCATTCAGCAAACAAATCATTAATGTTAGTAATATAACAATTCAGAACTGAAAATATGTTATGCACTATCAACATTACTCTAATAATTTTTTATATTACAGGTCAGTCCTGATTCTCGAGTTGAACAATACGTTAACCACTTAGATGCCAGATACCAAGCGGTTGAGAAGTTTATTCAACAAACTCTTGAGAAACTAAACGAATTACAATTGAATCGGGATGAATTCGAAGAAAATGCGAAGAAATTAAATTCTTGGATTTTAGGTGCTGAAGAGAAATTGAAAATTTATGAAGTCTCAGGACCAAAACCAATTACCTTCTACCAAGTTAGATTGAAAGAATTGAAAGCTTTTGGCGCAGATCGAGAACAAGGTCAAGCTATCTTCAATCAGACAGTAGAAGCTGGAGAAGCTCTTTATTCAAAACTTAATCCGGATGATAGAGAGGCTATTAGAACGGAGCTAAGAAATCTCCGCAGCAGATTGGATAACCTGACTGACAAAGCTAACATGATTTACAAAAAAATGGAGAATGATATGATGCATAGATCTTCTTTCGAAGACAAATATTCTCAAGTATGTATAAATAGTATTAACAAGGAAATTTACGAGTTCATAGCAATTCAATGACCATGAAGCTTAATAAAATAGTTTTTTGTAAATCATAATAAAAAAGGTCCTTTAAAAGAATTTCATATATCTCTTAAAGTTGCGTTTGTTTTTAATAATTAAAAAAAAAAGTTGCTGTTATTTCTTAAAAGTATAGATATTGCATATTCAGTTACTCGTGATTCTTGACAAACAATAATTAACTTAAGTTATTGAGCTGAAACGAAATTTGATTTTTGTTAAATGAGTTATTGTTTATATTACTCGCCAAAAGTTAAGCTGTTTTCATATGAAAACAAAATTTAAATAGAGCTATGAAAATATCACTATGAGATAAGAGCGCATTGACCATTAATAAAATAAAAGCCTCAGTATAGAAAAAAAAAAAAAAGTTTAGTTGAAACTACTTATTTCGGATTTGTGGTGGGGATTGAAACAAGCTTTTTATAATTTATTGAGGCCTAGAAATACATTAAAATAATATTAAAGCTTATTAGAAATTAATAAAAGCGTGGAATATCTGGGGTATGAAAACCTGTCAGATTATTCTAAAGATACTTTTTATCAGGAACTATTCAAAAAATTTGTAAGAAAGTCTGCATCACGAACTCAAGTATTATCGAATTCAATCATACGAGTTTTAACCATCGTTGACGAAATTTTTTTATTCAACAGGTTAAACAGTGGGTCATTGATGCACAAGCCAAATTAGGGAATAAACATAATTTACTGCCAACGCTACAAGAAAAAAAACTAGCTCTTCATTCGTATAAAACTATTGCTCAAGATGTTAATGCTCACAAATCCGTTCTGCAACAGCTACAAGAGCGAATGGGTTCGATGCCCGATGATGAGTCAAACGCAATGTTGAATTCTGTACTCGAGTCGTACGGAAAACTGTCTGAGGACGTTGAAGATAGGATCAATGTAGCTGAAAAACACGTTGCAAACCATGAAGCATACCAACAAACATTCGAGAAATCAAAAGATTGGATAAATTTGATTGTAAACGAAACTTCTGCTCTACTAGATGATTTAGCAATAGAGCGTGAAACAGCAAAGTCTAGTGTATTATTAATAGAGAACGTGTTACAACAAAAGGAAGAAGGTGACAAAATATTAGAAGATTGCAATCAGCAATTAAATATAGTTTTGGAACAAACATCCATTCCAGGTTAGCCTCATTTTTGTAAAAATTATTTATAATCTGCAATTTGATCAATATTTATCTTAAGTATGTTAATAAAATAATTTTTCAGGTCATCAAGCTCTAATTAAATCTTTTGAGGAACAAAAGAAGATTTGGCAAGATTTCTTAGCTAGGTGCGTTGTCTTTAGGGAAAAACTGAACCGTTTCTTTGATGAGTGGTCCGGATTCCAGAAAGTAGTAGAAGATCTTGAAGAATGGACAAAGCAAATAGAATTTCAACTCAAAGATCAGAGCTTAAAGAGTACGGAAGAAGCTAAAGTTGCACATCTTCAGAAGCTTAAATCGCTCGAAAATGTAATTGCGGCAAAAGCTCCGGAATTTAGTTCAGCTGTTGAGAAGAGTCAAAATATAGAGGCAGAATCTGAACTAGTCACTAGAGTATCCAAGCAAACTACAAAATATCAAGCTTTGCGCAATCAAGCTCGAGAGTTTGTTACTCGATATGAACAATACGTAAAAGAGCACAGCACATTTAACCAACGTTATCATCACTTTGTGCACTGGATTGAAGAAATGCAAACTGAGTTGAAGAAGCATAGTGAAATCGTTGGTGATCTTTCGGTACTGCAACAAAGACAAAAAGTCATTCGGGATCTTGGAGACACACGAACAAAAGAAAATCCAAAGTTTGAGTCAGTCATCGACCTGGGAGAAAAACTTTACGCTCATACTTCTCCAGATGGCCGTGAAAGTGTTCGCCAACAACTGAGAAATCTAAGAACTCTGTGGGATAGTTTCTCTGATGATCTCCAAGTAACCTCTCAGAAACTCGATCAGTGCTTGATGCAATTTGCTGAATTTTCTCTTTCTCAAGAACAACTAACAACTTGGCTACGTGACGTAGAACGAGCAATGCATCAACATACAGAATTAAAATCAACATTGGAAGAAAAACGAGCACAATTACAGAACCATAAGATCATGCATCAAGAAATAATGTCCCATCAGTCTTTGGTTGAGGCCGTTTGCGAAAAAGCACAACAATTGGTTGATCAAACGAAAGATACTTCATTAAACATTTATTTGCAGTCTATAAAGCAACTGTTTCACAACATCGTTGCCAAGTCACGAGATCTTTTGGATAATCTTGAAGATTGTGCTGATAAACATAGCAAATTTAACGCCCAATGTAAAACATTTTCTGACTGGCTACAAGGTGAAAAGGAAAAATTGTTGGAATGTAACGATTTTACTGGCGAACGATCTGATGTAACCAGACGACTAGCAACAATATCGGTTCTTAAAGATGGTCGTAACCATGGCTTTGAATTAATTAGAAAACTAAAAGATTTTGCTGGTCAAGTTGTAAAGAGCACTGCGCCAAAAGGTCAAGAAATAGTACAAACTGAAATCATTAATCTTGAATCTAGTTTGATCCAACACTTGAAAGATATTGGTACGTTTGATTTAAAATAAATCAACTTCTTTTAAACCTTTTTTAAATATTATTATCATTGTTACTATTATTACAATTGTTATAAATATCATTATTAATTAATTACTTCACAGACACGCTCGAGGATAAACAAAATGCGATACTTAAAAAATGGGAAGAGTTCGAAGAGCCGTTAGAATCTTTTATGAAGTGGTTCCGTTCTATGGAGTCTGCATTTAGGGACCAACAATTGCAGCCAACGCTAAAAGATAAGCAACAGCGTCTCGTTACACTTAAAGAGAAACGTGACGCTATAATAAAAAAAGAAAACGAGATTGACCAGTTTATTGATAAATCTCATGGACTTTTGAATTCCAGTGGCGTTGAACGAATAAAACCACTAATATCTCAAATAAGTAACAGGTAAAACATTTAAAATTTAAACTTTTCATAAGATAATCCAACAAATTCGTATTGTAATCGTATCTCTCCTAATCGTAGGTACACATCACTCTTAAATCTGAGTAGAGATGTTATTAATCGTTGCGAAGAGATCGTAGACCAGCATAAATCATACGAAGAAAAACTATCTAGTGCTGATGCTTGGTTAACTCCACTAGAACAACACCTCAACGCCTTAAAGACTGAAGAAGGAAGAGGTAGTTTGGAAGCCAAAAACTCTCGGCTACAACTGCTTCTGAGTGAACGAGAGCAGGCAGAACATCGTTTAGGAGTTCTTAATGTTGCTGGTGAAAGAATATTACCAGACACATCGTCACAAGGTCGTGAAGTTATCAGACAACAAATTAGGCGTATAAGAGAAAGATGGGATAGTCTCGCGGAAGGCATTATCGAGCAGCAGAAGAAACAAGGTCTTCAGTCCATGCAATGGTCAAGTTACCAAGAAACTTTACAGCAAATTCTTGCATGGCTCGATAATATGGAACGTACGGTCAAACAAGAAGCATCGAGTGTTCCATCTTTACTTCAAGAGATTCGGTCGAAATTACTCAAGTGCAAGGTAAGTAATCTTACTTCATAATTTGATTCCCATATTTCATCGCGCATTGTTTTATACACTCCAATTCAAATACTTTTTCTCTTGTAAGCAGACATTGCACCAAGAAATCGTAGCCCATAAACGAACTATTGAAGCTGTTTCTGAAAAAGCAAACGCATTGATTCAAGTATCCCAAGCACCATCGGATATTCAAGATAAAGTCAAATCAGTCAACCAACGTTACGAAAAGTTGGTGGAAATTTCTCTGAAAGGTTTGACTAATCTGGAATCCTTATCAGAAGTATTTCAACAATTTCACGATCAGCAAAAGGCATTTAAGGAATATCAAAAAGAACAGTGGGATCAACTGGCTGGATACAACGACTATACTGGAAATAAATCTGCTTTACAAGCTCGGTTGGAGAAACTTGTTAAGATTCAAGATAGTTTAGGTGAAGGTGACGTAAGATTCAATTCTTTGGAGAAACAATTGAATAAAATTACAGGAGTAGTTTCTCCCAGATCGAGAGAAACCATGGAAAGAGATCTTAACAACCTTAGGTAATTCATTTTTTTAAGTATTCAGAAATCAGTTATAGTTATTATTGATATATAATTTTTATAATAGCAAATACAAAATTAAAAAATCACATTAACGGTACAGTATGTTGCAATAATAATATTATTTAACTGACTAGGTTTGAGAACAAAAAGTTTGCTACTGCGGTAAATGAAGCAGTTCGATCTATTGAAGAAAGAATTCAGCAATGGAGTGATTATGAAAATTCGCTAGAAAGACTACTCATATGGTTGGCAGATGCAGAAGCTTCCCTGAAAAATTATTCTCTTAAAAATACAGTAGAAGAAAAACAAGAGCAACTGGAAAAATATCAGGTAAAATGCTATAATTAGTTTGTTTTAACATGAATTCTATCGAATAATATATTTGTTCATTTAATTGTTGTCTCGATACCATATCTAAATGTTGCGAATAGTAAAATTTTTTTTTTTTTTTCTTAAACCTTGTTTTAACCTTACACGAAAAAAAAATGATGTATAAAATTTTTTGTATCATTTAAGTGATTACATAAAGACTACAATCGAATAATAACTCTACAGACATACTAAGATCGGACAAAATTATGTTTTTTGTTTTTTTTTTCAAAATTCATCCCTTAGGACCTTCAAAAAGTTATGGAATCCGGGAGCGCAGACTTAGCGGAATGGGTGGCTCTTAGTGACCACCTGGAGCAAGTAAGACAATTAATTGCGGATTTCCAAGCTTTTCGGCTCCAATTACAGCACTTTTCAGAATTCTCATCACTATTATCATTTAAAACGAATTTTAGCTTTCTCTACTTTTCATAACACTGCAAGCTTTTGGATGCTTAAGGAGATAAATAAACTGTATGTCTTGGGACTTCTTTCACCATTCTATTTTCGATAAAAAATTCGGTTGAAATTAATTTTCATCATAATTTAATATACTTCCATATTTTCAAAACAGAAGTGAATTAATTTCAAATAATCAAACTCTCTGCTTCATTAAAATTCTCATTGGTCTAATATTGTCTTTCATTAAAAGCATTTGGACAATCATCGCTCTCAACACTTGGGGATACTATAATCGAAACATATAATTTTTGTCATCGTATCATAATTTTTTAGGCGTTGCTTGTTAATCTCCGTCAAAATGAAGCAGAATTCGACAAGATGAATGATGATTCTTCTGACTTGATTCAAATAAGTGGGGAATCAAGATTTACCGTTAGTGTTCAGCAAGTAACTTCTCGATTCCAATCTATACAAGCCACAGCCAAGGTAAACATCATTGAACGTATCTTTATTTGTTGAAATCGATTGATCTTAAAAATATTTTTTAAACTCAGGAACTAGTGAAAAAATGTGACCAAGCATTGGCAGATCACATAGCTTACTTTGATAAGTACAAACAGTGTTCAGAGCGTTTAGCAGCTGCCCAACAGTTGTATCAAATGATCCGGGACAATATTTTCGGTACTCGTCAGGAACTTCAGTCGCATATAGAAACGATTCGCGATCTACTATCCCGACAACCTGCCTTGGCTCTTTCAGTTAACAGTACTGTTGAGTCAGGAGAGCGTCTTTACGCCAATACTGGTAGCGAAGGCCGAGAGATCATTCGCCAGCAGTTATCAGATCTCCAACAAGCGCTAGAAACCTTGTACGATGGCGTGACGTTCACCGAACGGGAAATACAAACGAAAATCTCGAGCTGGTCAGGTTTTGACGAATGTAGCGAGGCTTTTGAAACTTGGCTGAAAATTGCTGAAGCTCACCTCAAATCAGAAATCGAATTGAAGACTACGCTTGACGAGAAACGAGCTCAGCTGCAAATTTATCGAACCTTCTTGCACGATGCTCAGACCCATCAGCAGGATCTTTTTGATTTAAGAGATAAAGCCGACAGTCTTCCAGAACGTCCAGAGAAGGTGGAAAAAATATTAGCTGATTTAACCAACAGACACGCAACTGTTCTTCAACGTGCTTCGAAATTCGTTGAAAGGTGACACTTTTTTCTTCATCATTGTAGCACTTGTACTCTTTTGATACTTACTGGAATTTTATTTATTGTTCATTCAAATCTTAAATTCTTTTATTTTTCAGATATGAGGGTATTGTCAGTGACCATCAACAGTACAGTAAAGCAGTACTCGATACGCACGAATGGATAGATGCAACTTTAAATGCTGTGAACATGTGGGGTGATAACGATCTTGAGCGAGTGTCCTTGCACACTAACCTTGATCGACTGCAAAATCTTCTACGCAGTCTTCCCGATGATGAGCCAAGGATCCAACAAATTCGTCGTCTAGGAGAAAAAGTCATACCTGGTACATTGGAATCAGGACAAGTCAATATTCGATCCCAAATTGATTCATCTCAACAGGAATGGGAGAGTTTAGTCTCAACGGTGAAGTCTACCATAGACACACTTGAAACTAAGTTGCAGCACTGGAATGAATACGAATCTTCGAAGGAACACTGTCTAGCTTGGATTCGAGATACTGATACAAAATTACACGCAGTTGATTTAAAATCCACATTAGAGGAGAAAAAGGATCAACTGGAAAAACTGCGAAGTCTTCAAGGTGAAATTAGAGCTAAGGAATTGGAGATCGATGCTGTGACTGAACGTGCTCATCAGTTGTACAAACAAACTACATCCCGTGGCTCGCAGGTTTCTGAACTAAGTGTCAAGTATCAGCAAATATCCACCAAAGTTAAAGATTTAAATAATCGCTGGCAGCAATACGTTACTAGCCACCAAGAATTCGACAATCAACTATCGGAATGTACTCGCTGGCTTGACGAAATACGTAATAAATTGGCGTATTGTTCGGATGTTAGTACATCGTCCCAGGCGGATCTTGAGAAAAAAATGGAAATCATACAAGACCTACTATTATACAAGGAGAACGGATTTGCTAAGGTAAAGATATCTGTATAAATGAATAACTAGTCAACTGAATTATAACATAAACCAAACTTATAATTGAATAAATAATTTTAACTCATTACTACACAGATTCAAGGAATCGTAGAACTTGCTCAAGGAGTGTTGGCTAATACAGCGACGGCCGGTCATCAGGCAATCAACGATGCTGTGGCAAAACTTCAAGAACAATGGAGTTCACTTGCTTCCAAGATGTTGGAAACCAAAACCAATTTGGATGATTCGATCAACAAGTGGGCTGGTTTACTCGAACAAATTCAACTCATCAATAAAACTGTAGATTACATGCAAGCGTCTGTTGACGAGTTATCACAATTCCAAGCTACGATCAGTGAAAAACGTTCTCAGCTCGAAAGAATCAAGACATTAGAAGAAAAAGTAAGATGCGAAAACATTGAAGTCGATGCATTAAAGGCTAAAGTTGGAGAAATGATAGCAAGTGGTAAACACGGTTCTGCTGCTTCTCAAGCACTGGAAACTTTGAACAAGTAAGCAAAATCAATACTTTATAATATAAGACTTTCATGCAAAAGAATCATCTGTTCTTAAGAACTACGACTAACGGTTTTTACCAATAAAAACTCGGATTAAAATATGTACTTATCATTTGCAAACTATGAACGTAAACTCTCAAATATTTTTTAATTTCATAAATTCAAAAACGATTTTGCAGATTTGACACATTGTTTCAACGAATCCGGTCATTGTTGTTGGAGCGAGAAGATCAGTTTAAGGATCACCGTCACTATAAAGAGGCTCACGATGACTTGATTAATTGGTTGGGTCGAGCTAGCGAAAAATTACCATCCATGAAGCAACGTTCTCTCAGTGACAAAATTGCCATTGAGAACGCAGTCGCACCTCTCGAGAGTCTCTTGAACAAGAAAGCTCAAGGTGAGCTCATGGTTGAGCAACTACAACACACTGGTCAAGTTGTTTGTGCTAGCACGAGTCTACAAGGTCAAGAAGTTATTCGTAACGAGATACGTGCCTTAACCGAAAGTTTCGAAAGTCTTTTCCAAGATATACAGAATCAAAAGGATCAGCTTGAAGCGACAGTCAGTCAGTGGCGTGATTACAAAGACGAATATGAAAGATTGAGTGACTGGCTGCAGCAGTTTGATATTCTTGTAAAAGCACAAAAAAATTCCCTACTGCCGAGTGTTCTGGAAAAAGAGAAACAAGTCTCGGAAGTGAAAGAGATACTTGGAGATCTGGAAAAAGGACAAGAGCAGATGGATAAATTCAACAAGTCGGCTTCAGCGTTATTATCAACACCTCTTGATTCGTATGTGAATAACCAACTGCGTCATTTGAACTCGCGGTATCAAGTACAAGTTAATTTAGCCAAAGATGTGCTACAAAAGGTTAAAATAAATCTTGCGCAACACAAAGAGTACGAAGAGAATTTGGGCAAAACAAAAGATTGGATAGATAATGCTAAGCAGATCATAAGACAAGGTTCAGAGGCAGCTTCGACCAGTACTCGTGAAGAACTTCAAGACAGATTGGATAAAATTCAGGAACTTTTGAGAAAACGTGAGGAAGGACAAAATCTAGTGCATCTGACTGTCAACTGTGGAGAGAAAGTCATGCGGAATACGAGGTAAAGATCTACATTTTAAATCACTCTCGTTGCGATAATTCACTGTTAAAGTTAAACATTTTTTACTTTCAAATGTATTCAACTTTGAAGTATAACAGCTCAATAAAAGAACTTAATACTTTTGTTATAAGAAAAATGTAGTCACGTGAGAACAGTTGTTTTAATATGTAAAAAAAAAACTAAAAAAATTGCTCAGTAGTAACGAAAAATAATCAGAGTACATGTTTTCTTATTTACAAACACGAATGTGCACATGCTACAAGCACAACTTTACACGTAGTCATTTTAAATTAAAAATCATTTTCGTACTCATTTAATATAAAATTGCATTTCAATATCTCGTAAAAATATTAGGTAGCTGACGAAACAAAATACTGTAAAAAATGTGGTCTCAAAGTAAAGAAAATGAAATAAGTTTATAGAGGATAAACAACTTTCTGCGTGTCTTAGTTAACGTCGTTTTTCTGGTTACATTCAATATAATTTGTAGAATAAAAAATTTACTTTCCAGATCTGATGGTCGCGAAGAAATTGCTGCCCAGTTAAAGGAAATCCAAAATGACTGGGAACGACTAGTAAAAAAAATGTCCACAACCAAAGTTCATTTAGAAACAAGTTTGCTTCAATGGGCAGATTACAGTTCATCTTACTCGCAACTTCAACAATGGATTAACGATAGAGAAGCAAAACTCCAACAAGTTTGTGAGCAAAAAGTTTCAAAGGCGAAAAAAGGCCTCGCTGGACTTAATTCCTTAGCTATCGGCGAACGCAAGGCAAATTTACGACAAACTAACAGCATCGTTCAAGACATCGTTGCATTCGAGCCAATGATTCAATCTGTAACAACTAAAGCTGAAGATCTCCAACAAGCAACTCCTGCAACTGAGATTTCCATCAAGTATGAAACATTGAGCAAACAAGCACAGGAACTTTATGCGAAACAAAAACAAACCGTTGAGCAGCATCAAGCTTTCATAGATAGAGGAAACGAATTCGCTCAATGGATCCGAGTAGCCAAAGAAAGGCTTGGAAAATGCTCTGAACCGACAGGGGACAAAGAATCTTTGGCAAGCAAAATCGCGCAACTGAAAGTTCTTCACAGCGATATCCCCGAGGGACAAAAGAAATTGGAAAAAGCTCTTGAACAAGGAAACTTGGCTTGTCAGATAGCTGATGACGAAGATAAGGAAATCATCGAAGAAGAGGTTGCTCTCCTGCAAGAAGAATTTGACATTTACGTGTAAGTTGAAAATAAGTCAGTCGTGTTAACTTTTTACAAGTTTTAAACCAAAACGTTAATATTATAAGTCTTGATATTCTTTAAAGGGATTCACTCAACCACACGAAGAATCTTCTCGAAGTGGGAATTGTCAAATGGACGGAATACGAAGATCAATATTCCGAAGCTGCTGAATGGTTGACCCAGACTGAAAAACTCGTTCAAAGTTTCAATAAATTACAAGATAACTTGGAAGAAAAGAAAAACGTCCTAGAACGATTCCAAGGTCATCTTCAGACATTATTTGATTGGCAAGAGGGACTTGATAGACTGAATATGAAAGCTCAAATGCTTTTGGAAACTTGCGCCGACACGCGCATTTCGAATGCAGTAACTCAATTGACCACGAAATACAATGCGCTTCTTTCCCTTGCCAAGGAAATAATGCGAAGATTGGAATTGCATTATCAGGTAAGAAATATTTGACCACAGAATTTATTACAATTTAGAAATTATCAAAAAAATGTTCGATATTAGATGAGAGTGTGATCACAGCTTACCTTCAATGCTGACAAGTATAACTATGTATTATTCGATGTACATATATAGCTATACTTTACGATCAGAAATCAAACTTATCGCACTCTTACCTCCTGTAGAAATTATAGTTATTATTTTATTGATACTTTATAATTACGAAAAACTAAAACTATGATTAAATTTGATGCAACAGGAACATCAACAACATAATGCACTGTACCAAGAATGTCAAGACTGGCTTGATAAAACTCGTGAAAAGCTAAACGAATGCAAAGAAGTGCCAAATACACTTTCTGAAGTTAATACAAAACTTTATACTTGCAAGGTAATTCGTCAAAATTTGGAACAAGGCCAGAACAAATTACGTTACGTTCTTGAATTGAAAGAAAAAGTTATCATGAACACCGAACAAAATGGTGCGGCCAAAATAAAAGAAGATACGGTAAATCTAAAAGCAGATTTTGACAAGTTATTGGCAGATGTTGAAGAGACCAAACAAAAACTAACTGCTCGAGCGAGCGTCTTGGAAGACTTCAATAAAGTTTACAGATTGATCGCCGACTGGCTTGAAGAAGTAGAGAGCAATATACATTTCGAAGAGGTTTATCGAAATGATTTAAGCGAAAAACGCGTACTTTTGGAAAAATACAAAACTGTTCAAAGAGATTTGCAAGGCCACAGTGAGTTAGTCGAGAAGTTTAAAATTCGTTTAGTCGAAGATGCAAGTGTTTCTAAAGGTCCTTACAGCGAAACAATTATCAAGTACGAAGAACTAAAAAAACTCGTTGCTCAAAAAATTCAAGTAAGTTGACACTTTTTCATTTTTCTTTTTTTTTCAAATTACTTTTACACATTGAAAAGTGTATATTTTAAGTGAACATTAAATCTTTGTAGAATCTTGAATCACAAGTTAAAGATCACGAGACATATCAACAAGCATTTAATGAAGCTTCTGATTGGGTACGCCGTGCAAAAGTTGATCTTCAACAATACAACATTACTCACGGAGAAAAAGAAAAAGTTGTTGAAAGAGAAGGCAAAATCAAACAAATGATATCCGCATTACCAAAAGGACAAGCTTTAATCTCCAAGGTGATTGAAACCAGTGAAATTGTTCTCGCTACCACTGGACCAGAAGGACAAGATACAATTAATCAGGATGTTGAGCAGTTGCAAGCTGATTGGAATCACCTGCAGTTGCAGTGTGACGAGGCAGAAAAAATACTTTCCGATTGTATTTTGACTTGGTCGCAATTTACAACTGCTTTGGAGAGCATGCAAAAATGGATCAATCAATTCCAAGATAAATTAGCCAAGGAACAGGCTAAAGAGAATAATACACCCGAAGATATGACCCGGTGTCAGAATTTGGTTGATGAAGCTATTCGACAAAAACCTATTTTAGAAGACCTGAATGATAAGTGCGAGATTCTTATGGAACTGAGTGCATGCAACTGGGCGAGAGAAAAAACAGTGCAACTTCAGTCAGCTTACACTGGACTCCTAACAGATGCTCAAGGTCTAGTTTCTAAGGTAGAAAAGAATCTTGCTGACCATACGGAATTCTTAAATGCAAAATCAGAGTTTGAAGATTGGCTTCAAAGAGCACAAGGTACAATCCAAGATTGCGTTGGTGTTGGTGACGTTGCTTGGGCTACGGACAAACTTGATACTACAAAGGTATGTACATGTAAATTTTATCCTTAGCATTCCTTAACACAAAAACCTCAAGATATATCGAAAAATACTAAATTTCCATTTTAGCTTGTTTCAACTCGTCTTACCGAAGGTCAACATTTACTATCTAACTTGCAAGCGGCTTTCGCAAAAGCTATCAACACCGCGCTTCCAGAACAACAAGACCAACTGAGAAATGACATGTCTGAATTGAGGTCTAAATGGGAGCAACTAAGTATGGATTTGAACAATGTCCAAGCTCAAGTAAAGTCAGTGCTCAACAAATGGGAAGACTTTTTCGAAAGGAAAGAGCGTTTTGACAAATGGCTTAATGACACTGAGGAACAAATAAAATTACTACCAGACACAAAGGGCGAGTTAAGCGAAATGAAAACACTTCTTGAAAAGTACAAGCACATTAGTGTCGAAATCATAGACAGAAAGTCCGAGTTACATCATTTACTAAAAGAAGGAGAAGAGTTATCCAATTGGGCAAACAACGATACAACTCTTGGTGAAGTAAAGGTCTTACAGGGCCGATGGGAAGTTTTGGGGCAGCAAGTTAATGAACAAAAGGACATTATTGAAAACGAAATAAGAGAGTACAATGTATACCACACAGCTTTGCAAGAAATCGAAAAATGGCTACTTCAAGTTTCTTTCCAACTGATGGCTCATAATTCCTTATACATTATAAGTAAAGAACAGACGTTGGAACAAATAAAACAACATAAAGTTTTACTCGACGAGATTAAAGGTTATGAGTTAGTATTGGATGATTTGAAAGCTAAAGGTCAAGGACAGATTGATAGATATGAAGCATCCAATCCTTCGGTTAAAGTAACAATCCTTGATCAACTTCAAAATGTCCGAGACAGCTACAACTCGTTACTAAATACTGCTCAACAAATACAAAACCGTTTGAACGAATCATTGATGAAATTCCAAGAATATGAAAACACACTTGATAGTATAATGACAAATTTGGGTTTGTACGAGCCAGAAGTGGCGAAGGAACAACAAGCGCCCTTAGACACTTTAGAATCTGCCGAGGAAAGTCTTATTTCAGCCAAGATATTGTACAATAAACTACAAGCTGAAAAAGCTCGACTAGTCGTAGCTGTTGAAGCTTGCGAAGCAGCGGCTTCTAGTGTTTCGAGACCTGGGAGTCCATTGGACGCTCCTACGATTCAAGTACCATCTAAGGAAGTAGATGTTCGCAATCGCTTGGAAGATATGATTGATCAGGTATGATGTGAAACAAATTTTTTTACACTTAAGTAATCAAGTGTCTTTAAACTGACTTTTGTTATATTATTGTGTAATTTTTGAGCATGTTTTTGAAAAATTATAGAGGTAGATAGACCAATTATCGAGCTTTGGTTCGATTATCGAGAGTTTTAGTGATCACTATATAATTTAATAGTTTGGAGTCTGATTTATGAGTAATTTTGGTTTTTTAAAGTAAAAGTATTGAAATAGTAATACTAACTTTATTTACATAATTTTAACTCCGAGACAAGATTCGGTAATTCGGTCTTCCACCCTACTTGCACTTTTTTTATTTTTGCATGAATTAATTACAATTCACAGAGTGAAACTGATACATCAGCACAGCGACTAAATTCACTAATGCATAGTGTCAAAGAAAATGGTAGTCTTCAAAAACTCATCAGTTTGTGTGAAAAGGTTTGCTTTTTTGTGTTGGCTTTATTTACTATATTATAACAGTTATTGCACGTGTGTTGTTTGATGAGTAACGTGAGTTACGCAATTCATTTTTTCTTTCAACGTTTTATTGTATTATTACTTCTGCTTCCATAATTTGTTTTTATTCGTTTTTTATTGTGAGACTCGATATTATTTACTTTTCAAAACACCATTTCGCCTTTAACTTTTTGTAAAAAATAATCAGAAATTGTTTCGTAAATGATTTATTAATTTGGATCATTACAAATTTGAATTCAACTATTACAAAAACAAAACTAATGTGTAAATGTATTATCACTCTTTTAGATGCAATCTCATATTTCAAACGTTACCAAAGCAGTGAACGAACTAGAAGAACAAACACGTCAAAAGAATGCTCTGATGGCATGGATAAATCAGCAACGGGCTTTGTGTGCCGAATGGAAATCGCGACCTGCAAAGTTGCGTGCTGAGGCAGCTCAGTCCGAACTTCAAGCTATGAACGATTTGTTGACAAACGTTGGCGAGCGTCGAAGTCGTGCCGAGGCTGAGCTCTTGATCCGTCCGAACGGCCAAGATGCTGATATCGAGGAAGGATTGGACAAACTCGAGGCCGAACTCATCGATGCTATAGCTGGAAAACAAGCCACCCAAGATCTGATTCAAAAATACCGTAATGAGGTCCAAAACATTCAGTTTTGGTTCGATGGAATATCAAAGAAGGCCGATGTTATAGAAAAAGGTAACGGTTTGACGATTGGACAGAAAATTGCATCTTTGAAGGAGATTACTTTTGAGTTTGAGACCCAAGGCCCAGAGAGGTAAAAAAAATTTTTTGACTTTTATTGAAATTTTAAATATTTAAAGGTATTTTTAATTAGTTTTTATTAACGTCACTTATATTTCGTGTCAAAATAGATTGGAAGAAATGAAGAAGCTTGCAGATCAGGTGATGGACTCGGTCAGTAACTTAGATTCGCAACAAATCGAAGAGCAAATAAAATCAACTGAGCGCAGATACGGTGACATAAGCAAGAAACTACAAAGGAAGGGTCAAGTCCTTGATACAACTGCTCAGGGTATTGAAGCAACGCACAAAGAAATCGAAGAAAACCGTGAATGGATCAGTGAAAAGAAACGCATTGCCCAATCTTCGGAGCCTCTAGGATTTGAAAGTCGCCAAGCAGACGAGAGATTGATGGCTTTGAAGAGTTTGCTCAAAGAAGCCGAGGCTAAGCAATTATTAACGGATTCACTGGAAAAACGGGTTTGTAACATGCAAAACGAGCTGGAGTCGAGTGAACAACAACAACTCGAAACGGAAACCAAAGCCTTACGAGGTGAACAAGCTGAATTATGTTCAATTCTCAGGGAAGAAATATCTGCTGCTACAGCAGCTGTGGAGGTAAGACGTAAGTTGGAAAATGATCTGGACAAGGCTAGATTGTGGATAAAAGCGACGAGCAACGATCTTAAAAAGCTTAGTGGATATTTGCCATTGAAAGCATCGAAAGTTGAAGAAGATATCAAACAGCATACTGGCTTGGCAAACGAAATAAGACGCTTCAGTGAGATTAATTTGAAAGATCTGATGAAACAAGGTAACTCTTTGTTAAAAGATTGTGATGAAGAAGATCACAAGAGACTTCAAGATCTCTTGGATAAGGTCAGCGAGGAATATCATGAACTACAAAAGGAAGCTCAAGAAAAACAAGCAGCCTTGGCTGACCTCTTGCAGGGAAGAAAAGCATTCGAAAGTGAGATTGATAAATGTCAAAGATGGATAAAGGAAGCTGAGGTTGCCACATCTTCTGATCTTCGAACTTCTAGCATTGATGTTCTGCGAGAACAATTGGCAAAGGTAAGCAATAATTGCGAATTTGGTGATTTTAATAATGACTAATTAAGCATATTTCAAAATATTCTTACAATTTTTCGCTATGTAAATGGTATATCATATATTACAGTACGACCGACTAAAAAAAGAAGCCAAAGATTATGCAGATGATATCGAAAAGCTGATGCAACAAGGCAAATCGATCCTGCCTACGATCAGTGACGCAGATAAGCTGGAACTCGGTGAATTCCTGAAGAACATGAAAGATGCTCATGGTCGTATTGCTGGAGTCATCAATGACAGAGCAACTGCCCTGCAGAAGAGCATCGATGAAGCGGAAGAGGTAGCAGCGCGTGTTGCCGAAGCCGTGCAGTTCATGTCACATATTCAAGAACAACTGCAAGAGCTGAACAAACCCATTGGTTCTCGCATGGAGGATGTCGAAGGGATGTTGGCAACTTATGAGAAAATTTTGGATGACCTCAAGGGAAGCAAAATAAAGCTTTCAGACCTTCAAGCGGTAAACGTTGGAGATCTTCATGGGATAGTATCTCAGCAAGACGACCTTATCAATGCACTCGAAGCTCAGATAGCCAAGCTGCGCCAGTTGCTGTTACTCCGTCAGCAGTTTATTGCTTTGGTCACTGAAATCATGACCTTCATTGCAAAATACACGGAAATTGTACGTGACATCGAGCAAAGTGGTCAAACCATCGAGGAAAAAATAAAAAAATACGACGATGTCGTACTGAAGATCCGAGAATGCGAAGCCATGTTGGCTAGTGCTACGGACAAGGGGCAACAAATAGCAGCTGAAGGTTCAGCTGCTGATAAGAACAATATCACGGAACAATTGCAGTCCTTGAAACATCAGTTGCAAACCCTGAGACGAGCCGTGGAGCATCAGCGGGAACAACACGAGTTGGCTGCAGCTGAACACAGAAGATTGGCCAACGAGCTCGCGGACATTCTTGACTTCCTCGAAAGCAAGGAGAAAGAAGTGAAAAGCCGACCTTTGCTGGACAGACACGTGGACAGTGTTAACAGCGAGCTGGAAAAGCACAAAGACTTGTGTGATTCTGTCAACGAGTACTTGGACAAAATCAAGGGTATAAAGGAGTCGATCAAGTACGAGGATGGTATGCCAGGATCATTGAAGGAGATGTACAGTGAGGCTATATCGCTACTGTCCTCGCTGCCTCGAGAAATGGAAGAGCGCGGAAACTACTTGGAAAGTAATCTGCAGATGAGAATCGATTATGCCGCGCTAACTGAAAAACTACACGACTGGGTTCGTGAGGCTGAAATCCGGTTGGAAAGTGACAAAGACGGTCTTGACTTTGAAAACATACTCAGTGACTTGGAAGAGCACAAGGTAAATGTCAATTTGTTTCGTTTATTTTTGAAAGCGATTTTTATCTTTCAAAACGATGTAGGAAATGTTTGAATTAATTAATCGCGGTTTTCGGCTCCTCGTGATTTTCACAAAAAATGCATGGTTCTGTAAAAAAATTGTCACAAAAAAACACAATATCAAAGGTAAAATTTTGATGAACCGTAAATATGTAACACAAATGACACAACGCGTATGAATAAACATTAATCGATTATCTTTTCATAATACCTACACAAATTCATGTAAAATATGAGAGATGAACGAAAAACCAAAAGCATCGAAACTCTCCCAGTCATGAAACAAGCTCGTAATTAAGAAACTTCGCGATAACAAGTAACGGCCAGCGAGTTATTGTGGTGAAAACTAGATACGTGTAATACACAAGCGCGAAACACATCGTATCGTTTGGTTGCAGATTTACTTCAGCAGCGAGGCAACGATACGGGAGCTCGTTTCCCAGCAAATACAGCAGGCGGCCGATAAAATCTGGCCGTCTCTGAGCGCCCCCGAGCAGGAGGAGCTGAGCGCCGAACAGCAACAGCACACGCAACTGCTCAAAAACACGCTCAACACCGCTAAATCGCAGCGCGCGCGTCTCGAGCAGGGAGCCGACACTTGGAGGGACTACGCTCAGACGCTCGAACGCGTCAAAGCTGTCATCGCGAGGTCCAGGTTTACGGATGAGCCGGTCACCACATTGGCTGGCCTCCAGTTCAACGTACAAAAGATCACCCACGCCCTCAATGATACTCAGGTACGTTGGTTTTTGTTACTTCATCACTCCCAAAGCTAGTCAAGTATAAATTATCACCGTTCACTATTTTTCGGCACCGCTACGAGTCGAAGGGTTTCAAACAAATTTTTGGCACTTCATTCACACTCATTATTTAAACCATATTTTTTCTACTTTACGTAAAGCTAAATTCAAGTAAAAGCAAGGAAACAACTAACGCAACAACAAACAAAAAAATCACCTCTTTTCCGTTGAAGAACCAGCAATTCGAGCTAGATCTTCTGACCGAGCGGGGCAAGGAGGTCCTCCGGCAAGCCGACGCGGCGAACAAGAGCCGAATCGAGGTGCAGCTGAGCGAGACCAGCACCGAATGGCAGGCCCTCATATCTGGTCTTGAAGATCGTCGCTCGGCTCTCGAGTCTTTGTCGAAGCACTGGGAGGATTTGGAGTCCAAGTGGTCGGGGGCCGAGGGAAAACTGAACGCAATCGAGGAGCGCAGCAAACTCGTCGACACGGTCGTGCGCTCGAAGCAACACCTGCTCGACACCATCAAGTCGCTCGAGGTGAGTGTGTTTGTTGGGATGGTTACTGTTTTCGGGGGGAGTATCGAGGAAAAATAGAGAACGAACTTCAAAGAGCCTAGGTTTTTGGAGGTGCGTCCCTTGATGTACAACTCGATGTGAGATTCTTACAAAATTGGCATATGTGTATTAATTTTTAGCTCCAGGGAAGTGGTAGGATTTTTCAAATTTTTGTAGTAAAACAATTGAAAATGGAGTCTTTAATACAAAGAAAATAGAAATTTCCTTACAAAAACTTCAAAAATGGGAGTTATTGATTTTATACAGTTCTGTAACTGTAAAAATACTACATTTCTACCCTAAAATCACAAACTTTTTAAAAATGTTATTTTGTTACTCTATATCGTAGTAAATTTTAATAATATATTTTAGAATGTTTTAAAATTGTGAGCAGAACGTTTTTTTCAAGTTTCTAAAACTTTGTATGTTTTGTATGTTATTAAGATAAATTTTCCGTTACCTAAAAAAAAAAAAAATTATGAAAACAAATAAAAAAATTGTCACTCCATGCTAATTTTTGTGGGAATCTCTAATCAATTCGTACACGGTAGCATGTATTTACTCTGAATAGCTTCGCAAATCATTTTTTGTTTTGCATTTTCGACTTTGAATTTCATTTACATACTCTTGAAATATACCTACGGGAACATTGAGAGCACAAAAAATTTTCTTATAAAGATTTTTCATAATAGTACACACAATGCTTTAAAAACGTCGATAAAAAACGTTTTTCTTTGTAAGTTGAGAATTAATTTTAAAAATATTTTTAATACATCCAAAATGTCCATTGTTTTTTGTGACTAAAAAATGCTTCTGAATTTCCCATGCCCTGATTGACATGTGAACAGCTCACTACTTTCACGAAAATTATAGCGCAAGCAGTTCACGGGAGATTCTTCTTTCTAAAAACAACATATTATGTATTATCATTTTTTAAACGTTTTAAAACTTTATTACAACCTTTTCCAAATGTTTGAAAGTTGAAATAACAATACACTGTTTCAACGTTTATGCCTTGTTAATTGTATAACTCATTGTTAGATTAAAATAATTTTTCTTTCAACCAGGTTTTTGGAAAAACGACAGTACTCCAAAAACTGCAAACATACTACTTAAAATATTATTCAAGTTTTTCTGCGACTGTTACTCTGTTTTCTTTCTAAGGGAATCCCTTTTAATACCCCTTCGATTGGAAAGTTCGCACGACCGATGAAACTCAGCTGTTGAAAGGACAGACCATATATATATATATATCAATCGTTTGGAGGGAGTTGCACAATTTGTAAATGGTAGCCTATAACTGATATATTCTATCCGTAACACCGAGAAAGCAACGAACCCTCAAACTTTTCGCGTGAGCTTGCTTTCGCGCGCTCGTACAGTCCTGAAAGTTCAGAAGGTCGATAAATAAGAAAAAAGGAGTTATACTTTTTTTCAATAATCGGGTGTGCAGTGGATAAAATTTTCAGAAGGAAAGTGATTTACAAAAAAAAACAATTGTTTCGTGTTCTCAGGAACTGACCTCCGAAGCTGAAAGCGTGAAATCAGATGTGGATAGAATCAGAGATTTGGCTGGTCCTGTTCTCCTGTACTTGCGGGCTTTCTCCGAGCCGTCGGCCATTGCTCTCGAAGAGCGCATCGACAAATTCAACGCAGCCGTGTACGAGTGAGTAGAAAGCTTTTATTTTTCTCTTACACTGATTTTTCAGTTCTATGCAGCATTTGGACCAGTTAAATATACCCGTTAGGTTTTTGATGCGTATAGATTACAGATGGAGTGTTTTGCGAGTTAAATGATCGAGGATACCTTTGCGCGTTAGATTTCTCCCTGTTTGAATTTGCGCACCTTGTAAAGTTGTAATGGTCATTGGACTATAGAATATTTCGCACGATTTTTCCATTAGACGAAAGTGGATACATTCACGTTATTGTTTGCTTCTCGAACCCGTAAAATTTAAACATCGTAAAATAGTAATTTTCAAGAAGATACTTTGCGGTATAATTTGTAGATTTGCCATTTTTTATCGATATCGTAATATCATAGGGATTGAAGACCCGAATTTTTTCAAATCCAATCAATGAATATTGCATGTGCATGCTGTTTGCAGTGGCTTCACGCTTAATCCTTATTTCTATTTTATATAAATATTTATATATTTGAAAATACATATGCATACAATGATTTTTATTTATAAATGAATTTACAAAATTATATATTTATTCGTAATATGTCCAGTATTTTTCGTCGATATTAAATGATAATCGTCATGTGTTTCGCCACCGAAAAGTATTTCTGGTGATAACAGTAGCTACGCAAGCAAAACAGTTTTGAAACAGCGGCTGTGCTTATAAAAAGCTCAAGACAGTCGAAAAATACAATCGTTTTCGCACCAGACGAGGTGACGAGGATCAAATTAGATTTGGCATAACGATGCGCCAGGGTACTCGCGGTCAACTAATAATTTTTAGCTCTAAACAGATTTCTCGTCTGTATATCTGTGTATATTTATACTGAGCTCATCGACTCTTATAACGTTTGACAGGAAGGACAAGCTCGCAATGTTCCGTTTGTTAGTTTACTGGCATATTTTTAGCTTGCGTTTTATTACACGCAATGTTTAGTGAAGTAATGGATTATTAGGTAAGAGTTGAATTGTAGTGGGAATGTTACTTGGGTGAGATGGCGATACAGTTATTGTTGAAGAAAATTAACTGGTCCACTGCTTTACCACAATAATAGGAAAAAAAATTATAGAGATTTAATAAAAACTCCTAAATGCATTGGTGTTTTGAAATTGAGTGAAAAATTTTATCTAAAATTTTTAGAAAATTAGCTTTTTTAACTATTTAGTTGAGAAAAAGTTTGTAAAAGAATGAAGAATATTATAGGACCTTCGTAACAGCTAAATAGCCTTTTATTCCATTTTTTGGAAAAAAAAAATTAAAAAACCTCTTTAGGAAGCTCCATTTTTTAAAATTTAATTCATTACTTTGGGATAGTTATAGGGTTTTGTTTATGAATATGAAATTTAAATTTTGTTCGATTGTTCAATCGTAGGAAAAAATTAAATGATTAAAACTACAAACATCTGCAAACAGTCGTTTGAGGATCTTAGTCTATTTAAAAGCATGCAATAGTGAAAAAGAAGTATTTTAAAAATTTCTAAAAATCGTATATCTTGGGCTTCCGGCGGTCTGTATAACGCTCGAAGAGGATAATCCGACATGTTCAGTAAGTGGAATCATCGGGAGCTGGAGACAGTTGATTTTTAGAAATGACTTTAAAATAATTATTTTGTTACGACATATTTTAAAATACACCTCAGTAATGTAGCTACTCTTTACGAATGATGAGTGTTTTAAATATTTTTCTTGCCGCCACTATTGACCTCGTCAGATTAGTTTTCTCAAAACAACAGTTTTTACATTTTTGCGAATCCCACGAAAAACCACAATTATTCATTAAAAACATTTTTTCATTAGCAGATGTAAACATAAGCTACATTTAAAAGTGAGAGAAAGATCTCACGATATTTTATCAGAAAGTATTGAAATCCAGTTAATTTTTGTTTTTTCTTTTTTTCTTTGAAAAAGTAAAAGAATTTAATTTTCTAAACTTAAAACGATTTTTTTTCACTTCATTTCTGCACATCAGTATTTATTCCAAAATGTATAAATTTATAATTACTTACACTATTCTGTTCGTCTCAATGATCATAAAAAGTGGTCCAGCTGTTTTTTGTTTTCTTTTTAGGAATCTACGCTGCGTCATAAAAATTTTCTGTATCACAGACAAAAGTAGTGAGCTAACTAAAAATTATATGATTATTCAAGCGCAGAAAAAGCTCTGTCGCAGAAGAGCTCTATAGAATTCTAGCGTCACACATATTATTACGCGCAACTGCACAAGCAAAGTAGAAAAACAACTTTATGCATTCAACAAAAAATTCAGTTCTAACAGAAATAGGTGATTTCCGAGTTACTGCACAACGAAGACAAACCTTGAAATCGCCAAAATTCTCGCACTTCGTGTTAATTGCCAACTTACATACAAGCTTACGTATAGTAATCCGTATAGCAGTTCCACAGACTTGGCGGCGCTTACATATTATTTGGCAGCAGAAAACCGACCAGTCGTACACACTAGAGTGCACATAATGTGTACTATATGCATTGCTAACATTGAAAACTATGAAGTAAGCGACGGGAATATAAAGAGGACAGCGTGGATGATGCTTGCCGGTGATACGCAAATTATGTCACAAAAAGTTTACTGCCAACATGCATTTTATGATAGTTGCTGGATACATGTGAATGTTGATTTTGAACAATGAACGAATGACAATGGCAATATTTAGTTTGTAATGGTAAACATATTTTATGGATTTTTACGCGTACACAGTTGTATTGATAATCCCTCCGAGTTTTTTTTTCTTCCATGATGTCCGAGATCGATGGGAATCCCAGCCCCGGATATAAAAATCGTCAACCCCCGTACCGGCAAAAAACCAACGAAAAGACGCGAATTAATTCCCCACCCCCTTACATTTGCTCGTTAAATCGATAAACCGTCGCTCCACCTGCCCGATCGACCTTCATTTAGTCAGCCGGCTTGGTTCACTCGACCGCGTCGCACTATCATTATCAAAAACTCGAATGACGAAACGGTTGTAAACAGAAGCGCATGAAAACCAGGGGAGGGAGGTGATACACACGAGCTCGTCACCGGCGTTGATTGCACCTAGGCCGATTTTTCCTGCGCCAGTGCGCTTCCGTCGATCGGAGCTGCTGCTCGTCAACGTATGGAGTTTTGAAAGTGTAGTGCGGTGTTTTTTCTAGAACAAAGTACGATTTCTGTGGTGTTTCGTTTGTCGTGACGTGGTTGGATTTATACATTGGGTTGCCCTTTGGCTCTGCTGTAAAAATGGAGATCGTACAAGGTATGGATAAATATCTTTACGTTTCTATAGTTACATGGTATCATGTCGATTTTTCCCTTCTTTACTTTTTACTTGGATTTTTCTCTTTTCTCTGTCATATGCACATTCATGCAGAATCATTCATCCCTTGTCACAAAAGTTGCAAAAGATCAAGTGTTGTGTACAATTGACGACTTTGACCAGATGTTAATTATTGATCGTTGGTTGGTTATTGAAGTGATGGTGGTTTAAAATTGTATAAACAGATTTGTGTCTAAAATTGTACAACACCTCGACAAAACCGCTCGAGTTTGACGATGCGGTGGTGCGTGAGTAATTATGTTGAATTTTCTCGCAAACAGACGATCGTCTCTGTGACTTTTTGTGTCTGTAGGAAACGAGTGTTTTAAGTTGTTTAAAAAAAATATTTCGAGCAAAAAACTCTATGATTCGTAATATAGTAATATGTCAATGGCTCTCAAATTTTAGTAAAAATATTTTCTAGATTTTTAAAGATTATTTTTTTGGCAGGAAAGTTAGTTCATTGTTTTTGCTTAAAGATTTTTTTCATTACTTTTTAGAATAGAATACTTAAAAAAAAATTTTACGACAAAAAATGGTAGTTTTCCTACGAGTTTGAAAAGTCTCTGTTTGCGAACCGAGAGGTTTGCGGCTCGAGCCGAAGGCGAGGTCCGTAACGAGGTTCGTGGAGGAGACTTTTTGAACGAGTTCCGGAAAACTGCTTTTTCGCCCGAGGGAGTACCAGCCTCCCAAAACCGCCCGAGGGCGGAAAACTACTATTTCGCAATAGTTTCCGCACTGGTATTAGTGTGGAAAATCGATTTTCCCACATAGTGTGCGGCAAAGGTTTTGCCACACACCGGAAAAAATTTTGCTTCACACTAGTAATCAAAATTCATACCTATTTTGTACCTATTTTCCGCACACTTATTGCGAAAAAACTTGTACACAACTCGTACGGGACGATTTCCCGCACTCGTGTGATGGACTCGCACTCGTGGCCGGTGACGGTAACTCGTACCTTACGATCACACTCGTGCTCTCGTGTACTCAACTGGTACTCGTTTTCGTCAACTCCAGCCTCTCGTGCGAGTCAATCAGGACTCGTGCGCGAAATCATCTTTTCCGCACTTGTTACGTAAATAACTGTTGAAAACGTGTTTTATTACAAAGTATTTGAACGAATCTTTAAAAACTTGTTCGGATTTATTTTCTAAATATTCGTCTCTTTTAAAATACAGTCTACTATTATTGCTAGAAATTGTTTTATTATGTACTGTGCTACTAGTTTGATATAAGAAAAGTAACTTTTCAGCACTAAAAGCGTTTATGAGTCCACGTGTGGAGAAAGCATGGCCATATCGTAGTGAATAATCATTTTCAACGGTTTGTCGTCACTTTAACCGAAAACTAAGATGATTTATGAGTTGAATATTAATTTTTCCATTAGTCGTAAACCGCTTTCACATGCCAAAAAATAATTTTTGACGTCAGAATTTGGTAACTCAATAATGTACCGTCACGGTGAAATTACTGCTTCCATGGTGAGATAAATAAAGGAGTCTTCGATTCATTCTATAACTGGGTTCGCTTTAAAATCTTTGAAAAACAATTAGTCATAGTTCGTTGAAAATTTGAGAAGGTCATTCGAGTTGTTGTTGTACCCCGATTCTCGGTACGTATACCATCAGCAATGAGATAATGCGTAAAAATAATACTCCAACGCTGGACAGTCCCGTTTTAATATCTTGGACCATTTCGTCGGCCTCGACCACTCGATGGTGTTTACTGTATGACTTCCTAGCTGGTATAGGGTATATCCGACGCTTGGTTAAAACATGATTCTTTTGGTTTAAAAACAGTGTCGTTGTACATTTCACGAAAGATGATACTAAAACTCGGTGTACAGTTGAGTGCTGTAGTCTGACCGGCAAGGAAAAATTATCTGAGGTCCGAGTCAATTTGACTTTCAACTAATGTCGACAAATTTACCTAGTACATGTTTAATTGACTGCCAATGATTTTTCTGACCAACTAGTCATTAAAAAATGGTTAAAATCACAAAAAGTGTTATAAATAAAATGATACTATATTTTGTTTCATCGGTTATTCATTTCCTTCAAAATAAAACAATGTTATTAATTAACTAAAGTTTATTGGATACAGGTTTTTATTACATAATGGATATTTTATACTCAACAGTGTAACAAATTATTATTATATTTTTTTATCAATCAAGTTTAAATAGTTATACGAAAATTTTTTAAACTTACACTCTCGATATAGATTATTTTGACTCAATTAAATAAAAAAAAAACTAAAATTATTCTCATACTTCATGTTGTGTGACTCGTAACACCAAGATAACGAAGCAAGTATGACCTCAAAGATTTTTTTGACTTTTCTATGATAAATTGACCATTATATGATCATAAAGTTAGAGCACTGGTACAGATACGACATTTAATCTGCTTTTTTTATTCAACATTGAAACTTGTACTTCTTTGATGACGAAATGATGTGACATGGATTCTTGAGAGGTCGATTTGAAATTTTTGCATAATATGTAGAAAATATGAATCGAAAATTCACGTCTTCCGATTCATTAGCCAAAGAAAGGGAGTTAGAACTTAATGTCACTTAATTATTTCGACTTTTACTTTCAAAATTTAAATAGGATCAAATACATCGATTAAGTTGATCAAGAATTTTGAACATTATGAACAGGTACAGAATTTGAATTTTTGATTTTATTTTGCAAGTATCCTCAGCCAACGGTAAAAGATCTTTTTACTATTAGGCACAGACACAATTACATAAATCTCGTAATTGGCGTCTTAACATTATTTCAACAAATACAGCTACTATTGGTTTTTCTTCATTTGTTTATTCCTTTTTAAAAACAGTTTATTTTGAATTGACGTATTTCTAACTGGGATACAATTTTAAAAAGTTTTTTCATTTTCTGCCAGAACCTTCTAAAGTGCAGATTCGGCTTCTAGATAAGAATACAAATATAGATGTAGTAATACTATAACTACGGCGTTTAAAAAATTTATTTAAAAATTGCATAATTTAAATTTTGCCATATTTTTCATGAGACACGAAATCTTTACATTTTTAGTGTTAAAAGTTTTTTTGTAAAGCGCACGCGTACCAATACCATGTAGTAGAAATTCTTTCAAAAATTTTTACAACTCCTACAAGAAATTTTGGCATAAGTAAATATGATGCTGCATTCTTTGTTAATTTTGGTTAAAAAACCAACCTTCTCTCTTCACAAAGTACACGTAAACTTTAAACATTTTTGCTATCACAAATTAAGTTGGCAAGGAGAAATAATCGAACGACAAGTATTTGGACCGTTATTATCGCAGTGATATTTATATTTATGCAAATGACCAACATTACCATCAATGAACTAATTATTACCTTCCGATCAATAAGTGATTGAGGGTAAAACTTATGCTTCCACGAATCTTTCTCTATGTACCCTTTAAAAACTTAAATAGTGACAGTTTAGTCTTTGAGTTTTCAGTGAACCCAATTTTGGTACTCTGTAATAATCGGGGTACTGTTCAGTTGATGAAAAAAATTTAAGAACAAACGAAGGTGTTTAGTATAAAAAATCACCCAAAGTTTAACTGATTCAAGTTTAGAATGTACGTAATATTATTATGTACCAATTAGTACAGCAACTACCTCATCATCAACGCACAACACTTGGAACCGTCAAAAATCCTCCAACGCGATATGATACACACTCATAATCACCCGAGTAACTTTTGACGCATACAACACCAACAAAAGCATCCAGCGTCTATTTTTACCCACCCGGTGACTGATAATACGTGTAAACTATATGACAGAGCGAGCGCGCGAAATCCTTAACATCGGATTCGCGCGCGCCGAAAATAAATCGCGCGATTTCGTTGGTGAATTACGCATCGAGTGCAGGCACTTTGTGCATTATTTCAACCTGGGACGATCTATGCGTGTACAAAAACTGCAAAACCCGAAAAAATAAAAAAAATAAGGAAAAAAGGAGGGGTACTCACGACGAAGCACGCGGAGCATTTGTCGTCTATATAGGAGGAGAGACGCGTTATTATTAGTCACTCGGCGCGACTTGGAGTCCGCATGCGTCGGCTCTCCCGGACGCCGCTGTGCCAAAGGGAAGGCGACAACAACGAAGAAGAAGAAGAATCAAGCCTCCCGCGCCTATATGCTCTCACAGAGTCTCGAAGCGCCGCGCCGCCGAGTGAGTTCGTGGACCGCGTCGTACTGTTTTTCGAAAATATCTGTACACTCGCAAAAGTTTTTCCCCCCTCCCCTCACCTTGTCCTCGCGACTTTTCGCGCATCTGTCTGCCAACTATCTCCGACGACTTATAAAAGCAGGTGAGGTGGTATTAATAACGTTACTGTGGTACTCGGTTCATCGCTTTTTGCTATTGTTGTTGCTCCAGTTGTTGAAAACCGTGTGGCCGAGGGATCGAACATAACGTTCGAGTTGGATATTCAAATTTAAAAATTCGGGAGTTCTTAGTTCGAAAATCCGTTTTTTTTTTTTTTTTTTTTTTTAACGTCGATAAACCGTAAATAAACAACTAAGTATACAAAATTCACGTACTACGATGTCAACACTTGTCCCCGTGGGAGTACGCGTGATGTAACGCCAAAGACCCGTTGATCGTAAACTCCGCGAAAAAAGTCGTCGAAAGCCTTGAACCTGATCTCGGACCCTCGAATAATCCAACGATCGTATACGTCCCGGCGAAACGAACGACGTGAGTGTACCTCGGGCACCCCGGTTGGTCGGCTACTTTTAGCCCACCGGCCTCGAAAAACTCGACTCGCCGCGAGGAGTCCCAACGCGGGGTGGACTCGAGCCATCTTTTTGCCCGACGCGCTTCCGATTCTATATTCGAACCGGTTGGAGTCTTCCATTGGACGGACCACGTGAAAATCCTCCCGATTGCAAACGCGGGGATCATGGGGATTTTGACGCGAACCGACCGTTTTTTCTTTTGTTGCGTAGACGTGATCTGTGTGCGCGAAAGTTCTTTGTTGTGAAAACCGTCACGTCATAGTTTTCGCGTTGGCAATGCATCGTCTTTGTTTCAAGTCCAATATTCGAGTTTGACACCCATAACAGCAGTATCCCCCCCCCCCCACAAAGCGCAACAATTGCCACAAAAGAAAAAAAAAAAAAACTCCCGTGTTTCACAGACTCGTCGACTCGCTCGCCGGCAAGACCGAAAAGTCGAGGGAGGACCTCGAGAGCCTGAGCCGCGTCGAAGAGGAGGCCGAGCGCCACCGACAGCGTCTCCTCGAGCTCACCCAACGCATCGGCGAGTTCCACGTGTTCGGAGCCAACCAGGAGACGGTCGAACGAGAGCTCGGTGAGCTGGGGTTGGAGCTCGACTCGGAGCTCGAGGCCGTGCGCGAGTTCTCGGCGGAAACCGGGGCGCGGTACCAGCAGAGCCAAGTACCGGCGGACGCGGCGCAGCGGCTGGCCGAGCTCGAGCTGAGGGCCGAGGACGCGAGCCAGGCCATGGAGGGGAAGCAACGCGAGCAGAAGCGCGCAAGGACCGTGCGTAGCGAGTACCTCGCCGATCTGGAGGAGCTGCAGAGTTGGGTGAGGGAGGCCGAGCTCAAGGTCAGGGACAAGTCGTGCGTGCCGGGGAAAATGATGGAGGGGCTGAGGCAGATACAGGCAGAGCTCGGCCCGATGGGGGACAGGCTCGAGAGGCTGGCGAAGAACGGGAAGGTCATTGGTGACAGCACGAGGGACGACGAGGAGAGGAAGACGGTGGATGGAACGGTCTGTGGGCTCACGGAGCAGTTGGCGCAGGTCAAAACTTGGTTGGACGAGAGGAAGCAGGAGGTCGGGGATGCCCTGGACGCGTGGCAAAGGTTCCTTGCGTTGCTCGAGGCTGTGGAAGCGTGGACGGTGGAGAAGAAAAAGTTCCTCGAGGAGCCACTAAAATTGGGCAGTCTCAATCAGGCGCGACAGAGGCTGCACGATTACTCGGTAAACTGAGCGCGAGCTTTTCATGTATCGTGAGGGTTTTGGCGAGTGACGGGGTACGGAGGTACTGGTGTCTGAATAGCTTTGTGAAAAGTTGCGGTTGTTTTCGGTGGAGTTTGGAGAGGATTTTTGTTGCTCATCCTTGTACTGTTTCGAGATGGCAGGCTAGAAATTAATTAGACATCCTGCAGAGGATGACGTCGGATGAACAATGAGTGGTTGCCCATTGTTGATCCAAGTTTTTCTAATTGCATCGTAGCAGTGTTGATGAGAGTTTGGCAAGCAATCTTTCATCAACTATACTTTGCGAAAGCGTGCAAAAGGGTGTTGCTTTCAGTAGATTTTCAATGGTTTAGGCGAATAGAACTGGTGAAACAGTTAAAAAACCATCGACTTGGTTTTATTTTAAGCTCTTATCAATGTCGGTATGATGCATTTTGTAAAAATAAATTAAATCACGTACTTGAAAAATATTATTTTAACGCAGACTTCGATTTACCGTGTTTTGCACTAGTTTTTTTTTCCTACACCCAGTAGTTGAGTACAAATTAAGTATACTAATCGATTGTATCGGTATCACGAATCAGTCGATGTACATATGGATAAATAATAGTAAAAGTTCAAAGAAATCTAATACTTATAAAAAGTAGAAAAATCACAAAATCACTCAGTAGGAAGCGTTCAAGTACCAGTCCCAAAATATACTACCAGCATAACGAAAATAAGTTTATTTAAAGAGAATTGGACGAAGAAAGGGTCTAGCTGGATAAGGGGGGTGAAAGTGCCCCGAACGATTTTTCCCTTAAACTTTGTGGACGAAAAGGTATCATAAAAATATATTTTTATGCTAAATTTCAGATCTGTAGAGCACTCTCGGCAAGTGTGATCGGTTAAAATATTTTTTTCAGTTTCTTTCCCGGCATAGTAAACAAAAAAAAATCTGAAACAATTTTAAAAAACAAAATTTAAGATGACAAATTCACAGAAATTTTTTAAAAGTTTTTTGTGCTAAATTCAAATTTTTAGAGACATTA